TGGCACATATAGGGATGTCTCTGATGACTATACATAGGGCGCTTATATGCCAAAGAGGGCGCCTATGAAGCTAATGGGGGCACCTGGGAAACGAAGAAGACATTTGTGTAAGGGTTTTCAGGGGTCATGCGCCGTTTGCGGCCAATAGATTCTAAAAAAAAATCGGAGGGGGAATAAGTTTTAAAAAATGGTGCGGACTTTCTGCACTGTTCGCTTAAGCGGTTACGCCCCTGGGTACATCTGCCCGATCTGAGAAGCTAGATTTGGATGTCATACTTGAAAGCAGCCAGCAGGACGAGGCAAAAGTTGGAGGCCCCTGAAAATAGGAGGCCCCTGGAAAAGGAGGCCCCTTGACAGGGTGGCCCACCCACTTTTCATGACGTTCCTACGCCCGTGTTGCAATTACTGCAAACTTCTCACAAAGGCTCGTTGGTGTTTCAATCGGCAGTCGATCTTGACACGTGCATTTGCCACGTTCCGTTATCTAGTCTATTGCCTCCAACGTACGGTGTTTCTCCGACGAATTATAGACGGCCAACTGCCAAGTTCGGATCAACATCACGAATCATCTCGCAGCTATCGGTGGGATCAGCCGGCCTCTCAATTTTGAGCCCAACTCTGTCCTGGGTGATAACGTTCGAACCGCAGTGGAACAGGGCAGGTGGCGACACTGTACAGGGACCACGCCGTCCTGCAAATATGGCAGCACCACATCCTGGACCCGCCGGTAACGATTACCCTCAGCATATGGAAGCATCCGGTACCCGATAACGATGGACGACTTCACTAGGCCACCAGAGAGCAGCACCAGCCGAAGCGGTATATTCAGCCTAGGTGGCAGCACCAACAATACCAGGATGCTTTGAATAGGTGGCAGCACAGTGTGCATAAACTTAGATTGCATCGTAATAGACATTGGACAATAGGCGCTTGATATTATTCATAAACCTGCGTACCTTCTTCTTTGAGAGGCTTTATTGTCCCTCCTTTCTTGAATTTCCCTAAGGCAAAAGTTTGTCCCAACTAAGACCCAAGGCAAGCATGTTATTTATTAGTAGTTTACATTATTGCCCAGAGATGGCGGGCAGGTCTGCGCCTGAAGTATGCTGTGCCGCACTACACTGCGAGCCCTCACTGCCTCACACCAATCGTTTCGACCCTGAAACGGGAAATTCCGAGATAAGAAGTTCAGGGAGATAAGGAGCCAATGTTAGGGTTACCCAGACATAGTTCATTTATCGACACATTCACCGTTCCCTCTTTCCCATCCTCAGGGCAGACAAATCCCTCTCCTCCACACCTCTTTCCCTTGCTCCGGGCTGGATGGGCAACTTTATGCCATGCGGGCGGCTCCCACTGGAGCGCTCCACAGCTCCTAAGGGGCACGCCCGTAATCGGGTCAGTGAGTAGGTACTTGCGGGGATGGGAGGGGGGGGGGGGGGGCTGGTCGGCCTGTTCTTCTGGACGGGCTCAGCCTAGGCGACTCACTAAGGTGCCCACCCAGACCAATGTCTCCCCCCTAACTCCTATCATCCTTTTGTCCCTGAAATGGTCTCGTCACACCGAAAGGGCCTAACCCAGCTAAACAAACCAAAACAAATCGCCTCATTCGCTGTCAGACCTCTAAGCTCTTGGACTCTTGGTAGTTCGCGGCATCTATCATAGGGACGAGGCCGCAGTATGCGCGTGTAGTTGCATCATCCTATTCAGCATTCACATTAGCATACAGGGTGGACCAAAAAGGATGGAAACATTTTGAACTCGCATAAAACATGCATTATTGCATGCATGTGACTGGAAATGGTACCAAACGAGAGTACATTTCGTGGAAATTCATAACGGCATCACTCTCATCTGCTCTCTTTCGTTTTCAGTCTCTCACAGCAAATGTTCGAAGAGACCGCCTTCGCGAGACAGGCACAGAGCGGCCAGTCTGGTGGCTGACGCGATAGCCCGACGACACATGTTCGCTGGTATGGCTCACACAGTTTTGGTGATCGCTCTCTTCAGGTCACAGAGACCTTCCTTGTAAACCTGGCCATTGAGATGAGATGATAAAGAAGTCACTGCACAGCAGCAAGGTCACCGAAATGGCGTGCCCTCAGCGGAAAAGGAATCGTGGGTCCACTTTGGTTCGAGGAAGGGAGCGGCGACACCGTGACCGTCAATCAACAGCGCATACCAGAGGCGGCGCTGAGGAAGTTCTGAGAGCGAGTCCAAACGAAGCATGGCAGCCTCATCATAGACCTTATGTGGTTCCAGCAAGATGGTGCGCCTCCTCACATCGCAAAAACAACGCTCAAGTGCATCGAAAACCACTTCGGTGACCGGCTGATATCCCGCGGTGCCAGTCGGAACTGGCCTACCTGCTCATCCGACCTGACCCCTATGGATGTTTTACTGTGGGGTCATCTCAAGGGCCAGGTCTACAAGGAAGGTCCAGAAAGCCTCTGAACTGAAGAGAGCGATCAGCAAGGCTGTGTGAGCCATACAAGTGGGCTATCGTGTCAGCAGCCAGGCTGGTCGCTCTGTGCCTGTCTCGCGAAGGTGGTTACTTCGAACATCTGCTGTGAGAGACTGAAAACGAGAGAAAGCATATGAGAGTGATGCCATTATGAATTTCCACGAAATGTGCTCTTGTTTGGTATCATTCCCAGTCACACGCATGCAATGATACATGTTTTATACGAGTTTAAAATCTTTCCATCCTTTTTGGTCCACCCTGTACATATCGATGAACTTCGTCGACAGTCAGATTCGTTCCGAATATCAAAGAAAAATAATATGCTACATATTATTTCTCTGATCTGATTGTGCCTTGTGGCTTGTGCTACAAAACAGGCATGAAGGTTCCTTGGTGAATGGTGAAGTTTCACTCGACATCAGCTTCAGCACTCTCGTAGCATAGCTGACCACTTTAAACACTATAGCTTATTTTAGTACCCACTAGGTGGCAGGCAAGTCTCCAAGCGGCATCGCTGTCACCTTCCGACGCGCTTCCTACGCGGTGCCTACGTGCCACCGCGGTGAGACAGCTTCCACTAGCTGCCCATAACACAGCCGGCCGGTCGGTGGGCGCTCTGGCAGCGGTGGCGTTATGGGCAGCTACTGATAGTGAGACCAGTTCTTGGTCTTCTTTTGTGTCTGATAGCGCGCAGGTCGGTCGGTGCCTGCAGACGGGCCCTCCTCTCCCTCTGCGTCCAGTAGCGGCGGAACACCTTCAATTAAGGGGGGGGGGGGGCACTGCCGACTTTTGATCCCATTCTTTCCATGCAACGTCCATGGGGCTAATGTTAAAATACCGAAATCAAAGGGGGGCTTCGGTATGGTTTGGTATGGTTTCGGACCGCCAAGTCTGGCTCGAGTTCGGCTCCCTGCCAGGCTGCCACGGCTCAAGTCCGGCTCAATACTTAAAGTACGTTGAGGTACGGTACGGCTGATGCGGCATAACTGAGTCCGGACTCCGGCTGTGGTCTGGTGCGGGTGAGCCCCGGGATCGTGTGTCAGCTCGTAGAGCCCCAGACCTTGCCCGTACTTTAGCCGGAGCAAATGCTGGAGCTAGTCAGAGCATAAAAAACAGCTCTCAGACCAAATTTGCTGGCTGGGTAGTTTGTGAGAAGGAAGCTGCCGAACGTTGAAGGACTCGCCGGCCATAGATAGCGATTAAACACTATATGCAATATTACTTACATATGCCGGTAAATGTTATTATTACATACACTGTGATTAATACCAAAGCTGTTCATTCTCCCGCTGAGCTGCGTAAGCAATAATTTCAAGGCAATAATTTTTGTATTTTAACTAAGCCTTCGACGGCGGTCACGGAGTAGAACCAAAATTTATTTACCCGAAAATAACCAGTGGCGGATCCAGGGGGGGGGGGCTGCGGGGGCTGGCAGCCCCCACCCAAGGAAAACTGGCGCCACTGCGCCGAAGGCGCAGTGGCGCCAATTTTCAATTCGCAACTCATCGGAGTGCCGCATACTAGGACTAGGATGCAAAAATCAGTCGAATAACGTCGTTTCAGTACGCTCCGCACCGATATTTCCAATCGTGTGGTGTCACTGTACATACTGATCCTGGGCGCCTCTTGTCAGGGCCACTGGGCGCCAATATTTCAGCGCCAATACGATGCGACTATGGCGCCCATCCGGGGCGTGGCGCCCAATTATGACCTGCAGCCCCTCCCCAGTGAAAATCCTGGATCCGCCACTGAAAATAACTAGCCTCCCCGAGTATGCAGCTCTTCCTTCAGTTTTCACTTTTCATTGTTCGCTCAATAAGGTCCAAAACATCTGACAAGCTTATCTTTTTTAATTTCTACCCAGATAACGATAAATACCCAGATACTCAGATACATTTTAACCGATTTTTACCACGAAACGTGTTGTATCTACTCGTATATGTGAAAAGCACGTAAGCTTGTCGAAATCTTCTTTTCTTTAGTGAATCTCCCTAACATCAACTGAAAACGGATGCTCATGTTCATTGAGGTCAAAAGGATATGGATTAAATAAAACATTTGGCTCTACTCGTAATTGCCTTAATGTTAAAAGTCGTGAAACGAAACACACTCATGATAACATATAATAACCACGCTCTCACACTATAAAAGATTTTATATGTCTATTTGATCGTGCGCGGAAATCGGAATATATGCAATATGCATTTAATGCAATGCATACAGCATTGCAAATGCTTCATGGATCCTTTTTTCATCCTGAAGCATATGCGAGAAACGTCTCTTGCGTCCCTTCTCCGTCGCTTTGTGCGCGTCTCCGAGCAGCTTCACCTCATCGGCATCCATCGTCGGTCTCGCCGCTAGTCCGAGCTAAATCATTCTCATTGGTCTCGCCTATAGGCATGGAACGAACCGGCAACCCTGATCGGAATCCCGTAATTTAAATGCCGCTGGGTTCCGGGCGCCCCTGGCGGCGGGGTACGGAACTAGCAGCGCCGCCGACGCTGTGCCCGGGCCGCCGACGCGCGGCGCCGGCATTCAGTGGAAGAGCGCGGTGGAGGTGAGACGCGCCAGCCGAGCTCCCGAGCCGATCAGCTGATTGAGCGGCGCCGCGGCGACCGTGTGAGATCTAGTCAGTGCTGAGCGGGATGTGCGCACAGCCGCGACACTCGTGTGGCACACTCTGAATGCACACAGCAGTGATGGTGCCGGACGCACTTCACCTATCGGCGGCGATGCCTCTGGGACCGCCGGCCGACCACGCCAAGACCCTGGAGGCAGTGTGGCGACCCGGACCGGGTGTCGGTCTCTGGGACGCGCCGGCCGGTCAGACCAGCCTGTGTGGCACGGGACGAACGGAGGTACCGAGCTGCGCGGCGGCCTGCCGACCTGACCTGGCGGCCTGCCGACCTGACCTGTCGGCCTGCCGACCTGACCCGGCCTCCGCCTGGAGTCGGAGATGCGCCGAACCGCGCAGGCCCTCCGATGGCGCTGGGTACCCGGCTCGCGCTGCCCTGTACCCCGTCTCTGGCTGTACCGAGCTGGCCGGCGGGTGTCCGTACCCCGGCCGGCCGGTGGCTGCGCCAGCTCAGGTCCAGGCGCCGCTCCGCTCGAGTCGAGTCAGCTCATCATCAGACGTGGCCAAGGACTTCAGCCAGCCGCTGTTCGTGGACACGACTGTCGAGTACGACCTGCCCAAGGCGGCCTACCCGCCGGAGAACAGTGAGCCGCTGCTGATGGTGCACCCGCAGTACTTCGAGCACCTGCGGCATCGGCGCACCCTCGGCGCCGGCTGCGCGTGCCAGCTGTGCAACTTCTACGGCAGGAAGCTGACGGCGGTCAGCAGCGCAGCGCCGGCTGCGGTCACACAAACGTTCCAGAGGCCCGGAGCGCAGCGCGACTGGTCCGCCTTCCAGCTGCCCCAGCAGCTCCAACAACAGCAGCAGCAGCGGCAACAACAGCAGCAGCGGCAGCAGCAGCAGCAACTCCAGCTGCCGCAGCTGCAACTTCAGCAGCAGCAGCAGCAGCAGCAGTATCAGAGGCAGCAGCAAATGCTGGTTCAGCCTCAGCAGACGCAGCAGCTGCTCCACCAACAGCAGCAGCAGCAACAACAGCAGCAGCAGCAGCAGCAGCAGCAGCAGCAGCAGCAGCAGCAGCGGTACAACTGTATGTTCGGCGGCGGCTGCGAGCCTCGCCTCTCCCTGGTGCCGCCGAGTGCCAGCCGCGACTCCGACAGCGGCTACTCGAGCGTCGAGCTGGAGCCGGCTTCCGAATGGTGTCGCCGGCCAGGCGACCAGGCCAGAGACGTGATCGCCAAGCGGAAGCGCCGGTACGAGCCGGTGCAGGTGCCGGCCCACCCGGCGCTACCGGAGGTGGTCGGCAAAAGGCCTCGTCTGGCTGTGGCCAGTCAGTGGCCGAGCGGTTACTGAGGTGGCTGGACAGTCACCGAATCAGTCAGTGAAAGAGCACTCTGTCGGCAGGAAGAGGCTGTGTGTTACTCGGAAGTGTTACTGTGTTACTCGGCAGTGTTATCGTGTTACTCGGCAGTGTTACCGTGTTCTGTGCTCTCAGAGTGTGTTATCTATATCTCAGCGCGGACCGAACAGTCGATCTGTGTGTTCCTGTTTGGTCATCGGCAGCCGGCACCGTGGCAGTTTGTCGGTCCTTCGGTCCACCGGGCCAGGTCCAACGATCAGTTGGTCCGACGGTCCGCTGGTTCGTCGGTCCGTTGGTCCACCTTGGCTGGAGGCCTTCAGTCCGCTGGTCCCTCGGTCCTTTGGTCTGACGGTCCGCCATGGCAGACGCATCCGGTCTGTCGGTCCATCATGGCAGCCGGATCTGTGGTCCGCCGTGGCGTGGTCCTCAGTCCGTCGGTTCGTCGGGCTATCGGTTCGGTGGTCCGCCATGACCCTACAGTCCGCAGGTCAGGCCGGTGCAGTGCTGTTCATCAGTCAGTCAGTCAGTCAAGTCAGTGAGTCAGTCATTCAGTCAGTGTGCGAGCGGGTCGGGCCTGTTTTTACCTGGCGATGGTATCGACAGGGACCGGCCTCGTTAGTCTCCAATGGTCCACGGGAAAGGCGGCTCGGTCCGATCGACGCCCGCGATATCGGCTGTTGTGAGAATGTCGATGGCGACGATAGGGAGCAATCGTCGACCGGCATCGGTGTCCCGAGCTGATTAATATGTATCGATAGGTCGTTGCTGCTCAATTATTTATGACGCCATCATTTGTCTTTCATTCCCGATCGGCTAACTGTGTGATGGGAATTGCTTACGTTGCTGGCATAGCAGCCCTGCTGAGCTAATAAAACGCCAGCTGGATACAGTGACCATCTGTTTTGGGGTGGTGGGAATGCGTGGTGGGACCACCGGTAGTAGGTGGGACAGTGGGATGCCTCGGACGGTGGGACGGAGAAAAGGGTGCGCCAATGGGTGGGCTGGGACTGAAGGCTGTCCCAGGCGATGGGATTACACTGCAAGCGTGGACGGATGGCCACATCCGAAGTTCGAGGAGACGTTATTCTACTGCTGGCTGTCAGTTTGTAAGGTAAGGGTTTGCGAACGGCCAGACGGTCGTCAGTAGAGCGAACAGCTGAGACGGGCCGCTTCTTGACGTCGTTCTGGGACGTTAATTACCAGGGGGGGGGGGCTACATAACGCTTCAGAACGTACCGGGGCCGCAGGCACGTCGCTCCTCGCTCCGTGACACACGTCGCTCCTCGCTCCGTGACACCACTCGCCACGTCGCGCCAGCAACCATCAACGTCGGTCGTGGCCGTCGCTCCCAGCCTATCTCGCTCATCACCCTGTGAAGATGAATCGGCCGCCCCCGCCCCCGCCCCCGCACCCGCCCCGTCCCGTCGGCCTCGGACTTGCCAGCCGATGGCTTTAATGAGCTCGTTAAATTCTGACAGATGTGGCGGTAAAAATTTGACTGGCTGCGAGTCACGGCTCGAGATAGTCGGGTCTTTAGATGCGGCCTCTTGTTTGTGTGATGGCACACATAACTTCACATGCGAGAGGTATGTAAAAATTCCAGCTGCGGCTATCGTCTCACACTGGTGAGACCCTCGTTTGGTGTTCTCTCCCGTAGGCGAATGTCGCCGTCATTCCAGCGGGCCGCGCGCTGGGTCTAATTAGAGGACCACATCGGGCGTGTCTCCTTCCCCTGTCCCCCGGTCGCCACGGCCTCTCGTCAGCGGCAGCGGGGCGCGGTAGTGGGGCTAGCCGTGGCGCTGGCAGGGCAGATTGATGACTTTCTGGGCCGGTGGTCGGCCTGGGTCACGCTGATGGGCGGACCTGTTGATGTCAGCCGCGCGCGCTCCTCTGCCGCCCCCGTCCACTCTGCGACGCGGCTGAAGCGCAGCTGGTAGGCTGTGTCATAAACACGACAATCACTCTGCGCGCTTCACGCTGTCGGCCTGACAGCCGCCTCAGTGTGCCAGAGCCCCAGAGCCTCGGCCGGCTGGCGCGTGACATGTCGTTCTGGCGTCACGTGTGACGTGACTGCTCTGGTGTACGGCGGAAGGAGCAGTGACCGTTTCGTGGGTGTGTTCTGAGAAGGCGCACTGGCATAGCTTATCTAATAAGCTCACGAACGTTTGTGTCGTCCGTTTTCGTATGTGCCACCCATAATGGTCTAGGTCCTAGAAAGCCCACTGGTTATTCACGACCGTCGCCCACCCAATAATTGTCTTCCGGTGAGTGTCACGAGACACGAAAACCAGACAGACACTTAGAATGAACCGGTAATGTTGGGTATCCATGACAGTATCCAATGAACCGGTAACTCTGAGACTCTCTTATTGTGATGACCTCCATCTGCTGATAGTGTGGAGTGGCTCTTACATTGACGCTTCGCATTGAATACCTCGGAACTTTGCCACTGCCGAACATCGCGGCTCTAATAACGATGACGCATCTTTTCATACGACATCATTCAACAGACCTGTCAATGGTGGTTGGTCCGAGGTCCAGCCCCAGACCAGACCCTGATCCTGGTCTGCCGCCTGTGCCGACTTCCATGCCTGCCTTCCGTGAACGTCGCTATCCTATTCCTCACAGCGCTAATTAGCACCTTGATGTTGAGAACTCGTGACCACCGGCAGTCGCCGGTCGGACCCTTTGGTCGGAAAGTTGAGCCTGATAGTGGGCGGAACTGGCAGGCAGAGATGGACCCCCATCTCCCCCCCCCTAGAGAGGCGTCAGCTGGCGAGTCGGCGCGGACCGAAATTAATGGGTCGGATTCCCGTGACAAATGCCATTAGGAAGCGGCGGCGCAGTAGCGCGCGGGTATCGGGTATTGGGAATGGGCCGGGCGCCGCCGGAGCCTGGCGGACTACCAGATGAGGTCGTGGCAGGCGACGCTCTCCCGCCGAGAGAGGGCGAGCGACCCGCAGGGAGGCCGACGCCACCTCTCTGCCGAGCCCTCCTGCAGAGGACTCCTATGCCGAGCGGCCCCACGCGGCGGGCGACGCAAGGCATGGTGACTGGATCGCGTTTCAGCGTGATGGCTAATGACAGGGCGCGCTGGACAGAAGGTCGAAGATAACCGGCAGAAGCATACATTGCCGAAAATATACCCTGGAATTAACCCTCGCCCGCACATGGGGGGGGGGGGTTGCCACCCCCCCAGGTAGTCTTTCAGCTCTGCATTCGACATTTTTAGAGCTAGAAGGCTGATTTTTCGTATAGCTGCTCCTCTATCCTTTCTTGATGTCCACTGAAAATTTCAAGTTTCTGTGATTTTTGGTTTCGGAGATATGACCTTGTTTTTCAGGTCATGTCATGACCCAAATGGCCAATTCTCAACATCTTGCGTTTGCCATGGGCCTGCCCTTGTGGGCTTTTGACACCCTGATTTCGGCCTTTTTTGCCAGTCTTACCTCCCACCTATCATGGAACATGTTGTTCGACGATGTACAGGGGTCAAGGTCAGGGTCAAGGTCAACCTAGGTCATCTAAGATAATTGCGTTTGAGGCAAGCTGAATTTACTTTTTGTGAAGTTTTTTGACTGCATTTTTGGTAAAAGCTTCTCAGATAATGATTTCATGTAATATGGACCCAAAAACAATCGGTGCACACATCAGTATACACACAGACACACACAGACATACAAACACATATAATTGACCTTGACCTAACTTGACCTGAAATGACCTCAGCAGCAAAATTCTGGTCGGGTAGTGTGACAAAGAGGTTCTAGCTGGCTTGGTACCAGAAAACAGCATCGTCATCGGTATTTGATAAGCAGCGCACTTGATATCCAACGGTGACCCAAAACAGCAACATTTTTTAGTTTGACCTGACCTGGAAGGTCAATGACTGACCTGAGGAGGTAAAACTGGGTATCATTGGATTCGTCTCTTCCCAAAGAATCTTTTTGGTCTTTACCGCTAAGCTCTATCTCCAACAGGAACGAAATGGCGCGGGGGGGGGTGGCAACCACCCCCCCCCCCCCATGTGCGTTCTAGGATGGGAAAATGGCATGTGCGGGCGAGGGTTAACAATGGTTGGCATTACGGCCGGGATTATCTCTCCCGGATGAGACAAAAACAGCGCCTGGTCGTCGCTGGTGGTCGGACGGTCACGGGTATCCGGCTCACGTGTGACCTCGGCTCGACCGACCCACTGCGTCCCCCACCCCCTCCAGAGGGCCTGTTTATTCACTGTCCCAGCTGTCTACGCCTGGCCCCAGTGGGTGTTCCCGTTCCGTGCCGCTGTCCGTTCCAGCCGCCTCCCATCCCAAAGGCCCGAACCGCCTCAATTTATCGTCTTACATAAGCTTTTCCATGTCGTGGTGAATGAAGCCAGGCGGACCGCCGGACGGCCGCGCAAATCGCACATAATCCAGCCGATTTGTTCTGAGCAGGAAAGCCGTCTGGGAGCTATGAGAAATTCAGGCGTGCTCCAACAGCATCGCACAAGGAATGAACGCCGTCGGCAAACGCTCTTTCTACAATAAATCCCGGATGGAATGCCGTTCACCTGTATTTCCGAGCGAGGAATGTCATCTATTTTCATTAGTTTTCATTGATCGCCGCCGCCAGTCACGCCACAATCGATAGTTCCCGTTCCCGCGGATCGGTCATGCGATTCTGACATGGTTGACGCGCAATAACCCGCCGGTATTATCACGACACGGGCTACCAAACCGAATGTGACGTCACCGTAATCAAAGCGTCACGACTATTGGATCGGCCGTTGCGTCACTGAGGTTGAGTGGGAGTTGAGGTCGGTCGGCGGCCTACTCATTGTGGAGTGGCTCCAGAGATATCATAGATTGCAGTAGATACCTGCAGAGCCGAGCAGGTTGCTTATGACATGCGGTACTCAATCATATCCTGACCGCTTTAGGCATCCATGGCTAATCCAGTTCGCATGGTCAGTCGCTGCGCAACTAGGCTTAATTGCGGATGCGAACGTCTGAAGATATCATTGCATAAATGGCTGATATCCCACTCTGGCTTGGATCAATCACTCCGGCAATCAGACCTAGCGCGTTATTTTATATGCATCAGGGAATTCAGAGGTCAAATATCAGATCCATCGGACGATTTTCTAGCCTGGAATTGGATCCTGCATCACTCGGAGATAGGGCATTCCTCTCGATCCTTTCTAAGATGTGGCTAGTCACGTCGCCCAGCCTCCTCACGATAACATCGGTCCCGCTATCTAAATCATTAACATCGCCGCTATGATAATAAACTGGTGGGAACACTGCTGAACGGCTGGGCCCAGAGCGCTCGCAGCTGTGACCTGGGTGTAAGCAGACGGAGGTATTTGAGATCTTGTCGACTGTCCAGACGTCTTATAGCCGCTTCGAGCTGGAGTGGTTGCGACAGCGTCATTCCTATCAGAACTTGAATGCAGCCATCGCTGCCAGCATCACAGGAGGAGCATTGGAAGGAAGAGGAGGAAGAGGAACAGAAGGAGGAGGAGGTGGAGGAAGAGGAGGAGGAATAGAAGGAGAAACACGAGAGAGTGTGCCTATTAGTGGACCCAGATGCACGACTTTCGCAGGCTGCCGAGTCGTCTTGGCTTTAGAGCGCCGGCCCCATGTAAGCAATTTACTAGCTTGATTTGGGGCTCGAATAGAGGGAGCGGAGGATGGCCAGCACGTGGAGGGAGGGAGGGGCAGAGGGGTGGGAGGAGACCCGAGTCGTGGCGCGGTTGACGACCCGGGTCCAGGGGGAGGGGACCGGGCTTCGGCCGAGGCGAGATACGACACGCACAGTACACAGGCCGCAAAACAGGTCGGGCAGTCCAAGGCGCGCGCTCAGAGGCGGCGGACAGTGCGGAAGGGTGGAAACGAAGCGACAGGCTGTG